ATACAACAGTCTTGCCTTTAAAAGGCACCTTGTAACAATTTCTAAAACTATCATGAGTAGCCTTACTATCAAACTGCCAAGGCCTACCTAATAACAAGTGTCCAGCAAGCATAGGGGCTACATCACATAATACATCACAAGTATAAACTCGAACAGAGAAAGTAATTAACACTTGCTTAGAAACCCTAATTTCAACACAATCATTCAACCATTGCAATTTGTAGGGTTTAGGGTGTGGAATTAAAGGTAGAGATAATTTATCTAAAAGTAAAGTGCTAGCTACGTTAGTACAACTACCACAATCAATTACCATACTACACACTTTCTCTTTGATGAAGCATCTAGTGTAAAAAATATGCTCATGTTGCTCATGTTCATCATCCTCCTTTGGTTGAATATTAAGAGCTCTTCTTGCCACCAAGATAGAGTTAACTACGCCATTGCATTCAAGCTCATCATTTGATTCATGGGAGGTAGAATCATCATCAACATTATCAGCATCATCTTTATCACTTTCATGCACACTATCATAGCCACCATCATCTCTCAAGATCATAACTCTTTTATTGCTACAATCTCTCGCCATGTGGCCCACACCATGACATTTGAAACACTTAATAGGAGAAGTGTTAGATGAATAAGAAGGAGGTTTAGGGCTAGAAGTTTTACCCTCATACTTGGTCTTCATTTCTTCCTTGGCCTGGGATGTATCTTTAGCTTTGGAATCCTTCCATTTGGAAGTTGTCTTAAAGTCTTTCCAAGAAGACTTGGAACGTTTGTTTTTATTTCTCTACTCCAACTTTATAGCCTTGTGTATGAGCTCTTCCTTGTCCACAAAAGTGTACAAGTTAAGCTTATCTCTCAACTCTAGCCTCAAGCCATCCATAATTCTTGACATTGCTTCACGTTCATTTTCTTGAATGTTTGCACGAAACTTCAAAATATTCAACTCGTGCACATACTCCTCCACTGTCATAGATCCTTGAGAAAACATTTTTAATTTTCTATTCAGCTCTGTGTAGTAGTAACTAGGGACATAAGCCTTTCTCAAGTATCTTTTAAGCTTCTCCCACGTTTTAATGGGCTTTTTCCCAAGTTGGTTTCTTTTGTACTATAAATCTTGCCAACAATAAACAGCATAGTCAATAAAATTCAAAGAAGCAATTTTTACCTTTCTTGACTTAGACAAATCAAGAGTCATGAAGATTTAGTCCATCTTCATTTCCCAATCAAGGTATTTTTCTAGATTGTTGCTACCCTTGAATGAAAGATACTTTACTTTTTAGTCCGGTAAGTCAACATCACGCTTTGAAGATTTCTTTCCCTTAGGAAAAGGGGGCTCTTCATACTCTTCATCATCACTGGGGGTCTTACGTTTCTTTCCTTTAAAAGAAGAAATCTTTGGCTCATCTTTATCCTCTTTATGAAACCTATGATCAAGTTCTAAGCAAAACTGCTGCAACTGTGTTTTGATAAATTCTAAAACAGAGTTCATATCAATACTAGGGGATTCTTCCTTGTTACTCATGTTCACAGAAGCACTAGAAACCATATAAGATAAAAATGGGTCCTCACACATACAAACTCACGTGTTTACTCTTAAGATAAATAAAATCACTCGTGTTTCACACAAAAAAATTAATGGCTTTTTTTTAATAATGAAAAACACACTTGCTTTTTACCACTCACTAAGCTTGTGGATAGAATCCAATGGTGAAACCAAACAAAAATCACGAAACTAAGAAACAATCAAGTGAATATCTTCTAAATTAAGGAAACTAAAAAACAAGCACAAGATTAAAAGAGGATTTTTTTTTCAATTTTGAAATAAATAGGAAAGCAAAATTTTCAAATAAAATTAAGCTTTCTAAAGAAACAACCACATGTGACAACAAAAATAAGAAAGAAAGAAATAAAAGTCAAAGAGTCAAATACTCAAAGATAAAAATAGAAAACTAAATAAAGTAAGAGAGTAGCACAAATAGCAAATAAGAGAGTAGATAATTTGAAAAGTGCTACCAAAAATTAAAAATAAGAAAGTGATCAATGTATAAGACTTTCTTACCATCCAAGTTGACTTTTCTCTTTAGGCAATTCGTTGGTGACTTGGAGTTCAAGAATAGCCTTTTTTTACATTCATAACTCACAGCAATATATTTTTTTGTAATTTTTTTTGAATTTTTGGATTTTTTTTCTCTTTTTTTCAACACACTAACACTTTTTTTTGCCCTTTTTTTGCACGAATTTCTAGGTTTTCTTTTTTTTAGAAGGCTAATAAAATGAAAACTCACATAAGATGAAAAAGTCACAAAGATGAAGAAGAGAAAAACTAAAAGATAGAAGTAGATGTGGTAGATAAGAGATGATCACAAAAAGAAATAATTCAAGGTGAAAAAAGAAAGAAAGGACAAGAATTTTGAACCAAAACTAGCAACCAAAGCTCTGATACCAATCTGATAGGGGATGCGGAAGCAAAATCGTGCTAGTTTAAGGACAGAACCCTGAAACACAATAAAAATACAAGAACAAAAAGAAATGGACAAAATTTATGACGGAAATAAAGAAAGATATGAAGTAAATAATAGGATAATGACAAGGAGAAGGTCCTTTAGAGCACCTGTCTCTAGAAACCTCAACCTTCGAAGACACCATAAGAGTCGATCTCGCTCTTGATCACGTCTGTTTTTTACACGTGATGCCACCATAAAGCACTAAAGCTCACAAGAGTTATAAACTCTAAAAATGAATAATTTCATTCAACTTCTGTGTCGTTTACAAGAGGGAGCATGCCTAATTTATATAGGCTCATAGAAAAGAATATTTCCTAAAATTAAAACCCTAATTTTCTAATACTAAAAGGAAAAATAATATAAAATAATGATAAAATATTCAGCCACATAATTTAGGAGATGTGATCCTAAAATTATGGGATTACAAAATTTAAAAATTAATACTATAATTAATTCTAACCTTTAACTAGACTCAAAATAGAAAATCAAATCAAAGAACCATTAAAATAGGAAATAATATAGGAGACAATCAAGGATTATAAATGATTTAAAATTACGCCAACTTTGACTTCTTCATTAGGGTTTCATGCCTCCTTGCTTGCAAGAGGCTCAACTTATAGTCTTCCTTGCATTGGGCTAAGGTCTGCATCTCTTGGGCTTGACTCTTCATGAGTTTGGATTTTAAGTACATTATACATATATAGATGCTCTCCTTTGGGCTTGAGAGGAGTGCCCCAATGCTCTCCAAGCTCTTAAACTTCTTGCACAAGATTGAACAAGGCTTGCTTCATGGCTTTAGTTTGCACTCTTGTCATTGGACCTCCAATATGTTATAATGGGTCTTTAGGTACGTTCGATTGGAAGTACTAGGCTCCTTGCTCCTTGCCTTGGGCTACTTCCATGTCATCATGCTCATGATTACTATCCTCAAGTTTCGTTGCCATTAATGCCATGTTATCCATGCTATGGGGTCCATCAATATATATATATATATGATATATATAAAAATCAAAATATAATATAATATATAGATATAATTTTTATATATATATGCATATATGTGTAATTTTGTGTACACATATATATATAATATAATATGTATATCTGATATATATATATATATATATTATCTTATATTATATTATGTTATGTTAATTTTAAATTTAATTTCATGTGATTGATTAAATTTAATAACTAACATGATATGAGAGAATATCATATCAATTTTATAATTTGAATTTATAAAATAAATTTAAATTAGATATAACATCATGAATTAAATTTATGAGGTAAATTTAATTAAATTTTTATTGGTCCATTAAAAGAAGACATAAAACCCTAATCTATATATATGATATAGGAGGGGGTGCACTCAAGAGAGAGAAAAGTTTTGATGGCCAAATACTTTGAGAGCCATGAAATACCCTGAAGAAAAGTAAACCGACATTCAAAGATGAATAGACGTTGGGAGTATTAGCACACTATTTTAGTTAGAGAGTTGTTTGTATGGATACTGATAGAGGGAGCAAATCTATATTGTCAGCTCATGAGATTCGAACTTTTGAAGAGAATGCATGTGAGAATTCAAAATTAAAAAAGGTAACTTTTTTATTCACCTTGATTTAAATGAGTTCGTTCGATCTACATCAGGATAGAGATTTAAAATTTTAATTTTTTGTTACGCCTCCCTATCCAACACTATTTGAGGTATATCTCATAAATTCTACCTAATAGCCTTAATGTTCTTTCTAAGCATAGATAACAAAGCAGTTTCCTCATTAGCAGCAAGAGAGTTGAAAATAATTACAGGTGGTTTCTCACCCTTAAGAAAGAAAGCATGTTTTAAATTACATGACAAAGGATTTAAATCAAGAGTGGGTGACCCAATAGTAGAGAGAATGAGCTCTTTAAGCTTCAAGTCCTTATACCTCATTACTTGGGCTTTCTTTTCTTCACTTTCTCGCAATTGGACGAAGTCAATGCCACTTACACTTGCTGGAATTTCCTCAATAATGCATGAACTTCTCTTTGCTTAGTTCACAAGGCACCACTCAGCTATCTCCTTTCTTTGGCACAAATCTTCATTTTGTTGAGTAGTTTGTAAGGCCTCTAATCATTTTTCTAAAAAACTACCCTCCTTGAACTAGGGAATCATTGGAACATCAAGGCAAACTTAGAACACTTTCTATCACTAGAACACTCAAACATGCGTGCATCCTATTCAGGACAAGCACGTAACAGAGGTCAATGAAGAACAAGGCTTTTAGACACTAAAACAAATGAGTATTGGTTCCAACACAAGCCTAAAATAGACTTGCTAAGTTTTATGATGAATTATTGAAGGCTGAAACTCGCGTGTGTCTTATCCAAGACAAGCATGCATGTATTAAACTATGAACACCAAAGGCTATGATATGAGAAGAAAGGAACTTGGTCTAAAAAGTGGTGTTATTTAATTATTTTACACTATATATATATATATATATATATATATATATATATATATATATATATATAAAAGGTTGGTCATAGCTAGTAACCCAGCAAGGTCTTTTTCATAACACTAATGGCTACACAATTGCGCCATAGCTTTAAAATGGGGGAAAATAAAGTTTCTTATATAATAAAATAAAATATGCTATTATTTTACCCCAAAAAAAAAACTCAAGCTAGAGAAGAGTCAGTTGTCTCTTGTACAGGTTCATTGTTGCCGGTCACGATGTTTTGTCGCACCACAGGAGAGATCAGCATCCACACTACAACAAGCAAATGCAAACAAATTCATACACTAATGAAACAAATTAAATTGTTCTTGTAATTTATAGGACTAAAATGAAGGGAAAAATTTAAAATATATATTAATTTATTTATGTGATTTTCTTCTTTATAATTAGGCTATATGAATCATGTGTATTTCAGGGAAAAAATTATTTTTAAATTATGATCCGTGTATTGTAGAATCTCCATCTAGAAAATCTCAAAACTTGACAAGAATGAAACTTCATATTTTTCTCTCTCTCTATATATATATATATAGATGACAATGCTTTATTGTACTTTTTAAAGAAGGTATATGTTTTTAATATCTATAATTTATCTTTATTTTTAATTTTTCCTAATTTAGTTTTTTGATTTGAAAATTTTTATTGAATCTTTATAATTGATTAAATATTTTTCATGTAATAACTAGCTATATATAATCTTCATATTGGATATTAAGTATATGATTTATTTTAATAAACAAAACAAGTGTCTGAAAAATAAAGTGACATTGGTTTTAAACTTTATTTAAACTTTGAAACCATAATTAAATTTTGTGTGCAACCATAAGGATTACATGAAAATTTGAGTGAATAAAAAGGCAGAAGTAATATATAAATTAGAAATTAGACGAATAGTTAAAGTTTTAAGTGAATGCAGAAGTAATAAAGATTAAGCAAAAGATCCTCCAGTTCTACTTATTTGGAATAGGATTCTCTCCTATTGATTTCCCTCCTGGGCATGTAAAATTTTATACTATAGTGCATCTATTAAATGAAACAGTCCGGGAAAATTTAAAAAGAAAAATCATGAGTGGATTTTAATGTACCTGGGGAAAGCAAGGGAGAGGAGGAGAGAAATTGCTCCCCATTTTTCAAAGGAGAATGACAGTCCAAAACATTGAATTAATGGTAACTAAGTTATCAATAAAATTTTCTAAATGGTTAAAGATTACTTTTTCCCTAAATTTGAAAAGTGTTGGACTCTATGTATTGAAAGAGTGAAGCAATATTTCCTTAAATAATTTTTTTTCAAAAGCAAAATTGTCTTTATGTTATAGACCCATCATCTTTTATATTATCCATTGATATGGAATAATTGTGAAGCTTATACAGCGACATCAATATATTCTAACCTATTTTTTGTGGTTTAATTTAGCTACTAAAATTTGATCCATTTAACTATTGTCACTTCCACTTTTAACTCCTTTGACCATCATCAAATGGTCAAAATGAATCAAAATGTCTTACTATCAATGTGCGTGGCCCCCACAACAATTCAATATTAGCACATAACGAAAAAGATAATGTATCTCTTATGAAAGGATGATTTTACTCTTAAAAAAATTACTTAGGAGGGATATTGCTCTACCCCTTCAATATAGGGTAGCTAATACTCCTAAAAAAAAAAGTTTACAGGGGAGAAATGATCTTTAACCCATTTTTTAAAAGATGGGTTATAAATATTAATTCAAACAGTATTATAAATAGGAATCACAATTACTTTTAAAATTTAAATGTCTTATTTGCAACTAATATTTTTACATTTACAATTATCTGGATCAATATTTTAAATTTATTTTTAAAAATTATTTTAAATTTAATTGTGATTAGTTTAATATTTTAGAACTTAATTGCAATTTGTACTTTATTCAATATGGACTTACAGTAAAAAGAGGCTGCAAACCACTCGTTGATAACTTTGACCCAAGTGCTAACCCACCCTACGTCAATGCTCCACCTGTACTTGCCAACAACCAGAAGTATTTTACAAGTTTTTACAGGGATAATGATAGCTAAATTCTAAAATATTGAATTAATACATTTAGGTCTCAAAATATTCAATTAATAATAATTAAGTTTCTGTTAAAAAATTTAAAAAATAAATTATAAATATTGATTTATATAGTTAATTATAAATTGGAATTTCAGTAAAATTTGTTGAAAAATATCCTTTGTTTTAACAAAAAAAATTGAAATCGATTGCACAGTTAAAATTTATTAAAAATATTTTACATAAAAAAAAATTAATAATATTAAATGTTTTAAAATGGTACTGGTCATTAAATTACAGGAGATACTAATTTATTTCATTGGCTTGGAGAGGATATACTAGTTTAGAATTTACTAATTTAACCATAATTAAACTAATATATTTTTATATAAAAATAAAAAAATTAATTATTATTTATTTTTGATTGATTTTGAAAAATAGCAGTAGAGGAATGGATGAAAAATGTTTACTTGGCGGGTGAATTATTGAGATCCCAACTGATGAATAACATGGCGAAATGCATTGCTCCTAATGAGAAAACCAGGTGAAAAAATCCATACATATATGGAACATCATCTTCCTCTTCCACTTCATCTTTTCCAAACTGCAAACCAAACAAATAAAAAATTGGCGCATAATTAAATTCACGTCGCTTTTATTTCTAGAAAAAATTTGGCTTTTCTTCCTAGAAATATTAACATTAACTCCGCTCTCAATTATTAATGAGAATTATCAAATTTTTTTAATCTTAAAGTGCTTTTGGGAGTTTATGATTAAAAGAAAAGAAACAATCATTAATGAAATGATATAAAATAGAGTGGAATAGAATAGATTAAAACTTTTTCTTCCAATATTACTAAGGAGATCATGTAAATAAAACAGTGCAGAATAGAAAAAGTGTTAATATTAATTGATATAATATATATAAAAAGAAATGATGCACATAAAAAAAGAAACAATTAGGGTGGAACTAACCTTGAAACTTTTGCGGCCAATTTTTTCATATATATATATATATGTACATGTATATATTGTTGATTTAATTTTATTATATTTTTTATAATTAATTTCGTAAAAATAATTTATAACTTTTTAAACATCATTAAATGATAATTATGAATAACAGTATTTCAAAATACAAAACATCACCATATATCTAATATATTATTTTTGAGAAAAATTTTATACAGAATATGTGTGTGTGACAGTGAGTGTTTATATTTTCAATTAATTTTCATATGTTATTATAAATTGATGATAAAAAAAAGGAGAGATTTTCAAATTTTATAACATGATAGACCAATATACAAACATTAAAAATATATGTTAAACATAGCTAAACTAGTTGACGGATTCTTATATGGATACAATGCACCATGTTATTCATATTATATCCAATAAAATTACATCAATTCAATTCAATAAAATTTTGTGTCATTATTAATGACTTCATTTTTTAAATAAAGTGCATATTTAATTTCTTGTCTTTTATTTTTCTATCATCATCGGTAATATAATCAATTTATATTCACAATCATCTAACATTACACATTTTTACTGGATAGAGTATATAGATGACGTTATGCATTGTTTCTATGCAAAAATTTCTCATACTAATCCTATTAATGTAATAATATTAATTTTCAATTCAATAACTTTGGAACTAGGTGTATGGTGAGGGGGCATTCCTCTTCCCATACATTTAACTTGTGCTTGGATACTAGAGGGGGAATTAGAGCCTCGAAAGGAAATGTTGGTCCAATAATATCAGTTTAAAATTACTTTTGTTTTATTGTTCTAAAAACTGGTACTTCATAAAACATGTTTTGAAAATAAAAAATAATAAAAATAGGTGTTTTTTGCTTTCTTTCTTATTTTCTAAAATAATAATCTCAGAATATCTAAAAGATATTTTTTTTCTATTTTTCAAAACAATATTTAGTTTTTTCTCCAAAATAATTTTTAAAAATATATTACTAAATTTATTTTTTTGTTCTAAAGAATAGAAAATTATTCTCAAAACAAGTTGTCAAACAAGCCAATCACTTTCATTTTCTCCCCTATATTGAATTCTACATCTTGAAGTATTTAAAAAAAATCTTTTTTTTTTCAAATACGTATCAATTATTTGATTTTTGAACCATTAATGGATAAGAGCAGTGCACCTGGAAGCATTTGTAATCAATTCCTGTGGAAAACGTGGCAAACACAATGGCAAAGATGGCAATCAGAAAGGCCTACAAAAATTAAATGTGTATTAATATTTAATATCAATAATCCAATATAGAATACCAAATGTATAACAAATTACATTATTTACAAAATCTTTACAAGTATGAATATAACATAGAATTGTATCAAAAAATTATCAGCACACATGAAAATTTTGAGTTGTAGCCGAATGAAAGGAAGAAAACTCAATGTGTGGCCAAACAAAAAAGCAAGAAAAATATAATCAATATAAAGAATTAATTTTTTAAAAAGTTTATAAGAGTGAAGGGTAAGACGTACAATTATTGTTATCCAATCACGATTTTCCTTCTCTGAGTTGATCGGGCTGCATCTTATAATAATGGGTTCACTGGAAAGCCATAAATAATAACAAGAATCAATATCAATATATTAATAATCAATAAACAAGTTAAGTCATGGCATTTATACTATGAGTTAACAAGTAAATAAAACCTGAGTTATTACTCAAAAATCACCCTGAACCCTGAACTCTTAAAATACGTAAAATAAACTTTAAATTTTTAAATTCATAGTAAAATAAACCCTAACTGTTAAATTTTTAACACTATTATTGTTCACACAGGTATTGTTTAGGGTTTATTTTCTTACAAATTTAACCTTAATTGTTACAGTACCCTCGTGGACAGTAGCGATGTTAAAAAAGTTAATAGTTAGGGTTTATTTTACTATGAATTTAAAAGTTTAGAGTTTATTTTTCATATTTTAAGAGTTCAGGGTCTAGGATGATTTTCGAGTAAGAGTTCAGGGTCCTATTTACTCATTAACCCTTATACTATAATTCATAAACAATACTCCTTCCTTCAATCACTACAAAAAAAAAAGACTTTCAGCGATGATTTTCAGTGGCAATTCTAAAAAGTCACCATTGAAAATGAATAACATGCAGTGACAATAAAAGTCACCACTGAAAGTTTGACCTTCAATAGCAACATGCAAAATCACTGTTAAAAGTGTTGCCATAAAATGTCACGCTTTCAACATTGCTACCAAAAGTCTAAATTTCTATCGCTGCTAAAAGTTCACATTCAATGGCTACTTTTTAGAGTCGCCACAGGAAGTGTAATTTTCAATATTACTATTAAAAGTTTGACTTTCGTAATAATTAATAATAACTAGATATTATCATCATAATTTTTTTATTTTTTAATCCAATATTTAACATTTTAATACATTAATTTTGTTGTATTATTATAATTTTATTATGAATATATAAAATAATGTAATGAGTTTTTATTTAATATATTTCATGTAATTTTGAAAAATGGATGTAGGCCAAGTTGTTGGGCTGAACCAAGATAAATCTATTAAGTCAAAGTGTAAAGTCCCTGAATCTGAACTTAAAGTCCTGTCTCAACCCGTGCTTTACCATTCCACACCACGCAATTAATAAATCAAAATCAGAGTAATAGCCTTTTATTTATTTTTAAAATCACAAGATCCCAACTTCTTAAAACATATATTCAAATAAGAGAGCTAACAAAAGCATAAACACACTCAAAATACTCAAAATATCATAATCTATTAACCCTGAGAAAAGGTTATTCGTCGCAGTGTGCAACACGTAACTGCATCGTGCGTCACAGTGGGCACATCATATGCCATGGCACACCTATCCGAATTTCTAGTGTCATTTTGACAGCAAAAATGACGACCTTCCAGCATGTGCTATTTTCACACTCGATGTCCAATTGGAGTAATTCAAGCGCCCACATGAAGCTTACAATGTATAGTAGCTAATAGAATAAGTTTGGACTTAATTTGATGGTTTAATTTGAAATTGTATACCCCAGGTGCAAAAAGTTACTTTTTCTTTTAAAAACTTACACCTTAATTATTCAATTCTCATTCCTTGTCCTATTAGACCACTTCAGGCCTTGAACTAAGTCTAAAAGGACCATATACACTTGATTAACATCAGAATACACATATATCACATCAATAGCCCATTTTGACATCTCAAAGCTACATTACACATTTGTGATCTTATATGAGGAAAACATATATATAATACATAATCATATATACAATTGACTTGTTCCACTTTCAACCCTTCAACTCTTACATATAGAGCTCGCCCTTACCATATGGTCATGAATCACAAATGTACTCGACTCTTCTAAATGGGGCTCTACCTCACCATTTGTGTCAAGTTTGGTACTATTTGTCTCAAGTTCTCATTTCACAATGCAACACACATTCAATTCACATAATCAACATATATATACATTAGTAGAACAAGTTACAATATCATACACTTGCTTGTCTCGCTAGGGCACCCTCAACACAATGCAATATCATATATATATATAGGCAAGATTTACATCATAATTTACTTTCTCAAGTTCACATACATTTATACATCCTAGTTGGCAACTCAAACTACCTACGTTACGATGTACAAGATAAAAAAGTGATTAATAAGGATGTGTCTAGCTCATGAAAACAAAGGGAAAGGAAGAGGAAGCATGAAAGGAGAAGAGGAGAAGCCTAATCTCTACTAGGGTAAGGGTTTGTTGGAGTTTGGGAGACATTTTAGACTGGTAACTTATCGAGTAAGTTTCATATTGCCCTTACCTCTGATTCTACACTAATTTCTTTTAGTATAAATTATAGAGAAATTGAATTAGGAAGTTTTAAGGAATTTGTTTCTTACACTTTGGTAATGAAAACGTTATTGGGAATCAAATTGAGGTTTTTCGACTAGTTTCGAATTAAATGATAAAGCATTAGAGTTGTAACCATAATTAAGCCCTAAATTAGAGGTAAAAAGGAATGGAAGATTTGAGTAGGGTATGTTAGGATTGATAGAAATGATAGAAAGGGGTGATTGGATTGCAATGAACCTAAGTTAATCAAGTAAAAGGAAAAGAATAGCTAAATGTGATTTTAAGTGATAATTAATACTTGTGGTCAATTTGATTAACTGATTAATAGTGCTAACTGTGTGTAGATTGCCATGAGGTGTGTATATCTTGAGAGAGAAAGCACGTAGTGACCATATGCATATAAGAAATTCATGGGTGACCCTTTTTGTGACAAAAAGATTGAGGTGACCAAATAACTTACTCTGTTTGATTTTCTAGCTTAACTGTTTATGAGTATAAATATTATTGCATGAAATTGTTTTAGAATGTGCATATTTGAAAAGTGAATGATTGATACATGAAAATGATTTTTAAAGGAAATGAGTTTATGAAATTGCATGATTATGTGACTATATATATACATATATGGATTTAACAAGAGGTTTGTATGTGAGCGTGATCAGAGAGGTGGGAGTTCACCCATAGGGAGAAGTAGTGAAAAGTCCATATAGTATTATTCTACTTAGTACTGATGGGATGCAATGTTGAAGAATTTCATCTCCTTAGTACCTATTGAAGTGCAGTTGAAAATTATCTCCTTAGTACCCATGTGGGGTGTGGTGTTGGAGATTAGAGGTCCTTAGCATTTATGAGATACAATGTTGGAGTAACAATACCTTGATCATTGTGTATGAAAGGGGAAAATGGTAGTCCAAAAGTGAGACAAAACACCTTTGATCGAGTGATTCTACCACTAAAGGTGTGCTCAGGTCAATGAGTGTGTATTGGCCTAATGAGAGCTTATAGTTTCAGTCAAGATGATATAAAGGTTCAGATGGTAGTTGATCATGCTAGTGGTGATGATTTATTGTGAAAATGGTTTTATGAAGTGAAATTATGCTATATGCTTTATTTAACTACTTATGTACAATACTTACTTATAGTTACCTGTGATGTAGTAGCAAGTTATTCTATTACTGAGATTATTATCTCACCCCGTGGTTACATCTTTATAGGTCAGAGTAGTAAGTCAGGCAAAGGGAAAGATTCTAGAGTAATGGTGCTATTATCGTGCAATGAAAAGATTGTGTAATGAATATTTTGTTTTAAATTTGTAAATGAAAAGTTGCCATAGGAAATCATATGCATGTTTTAGATTGTGATAAGTAGTAAGTTTGATAATCTTAGCCCTATGTTTGTAAGATGTGATGCATGCGGTGAAATATATGATCATGGTCTAAGATTTAATTGTGAAATGTGTTGTGAATGTGTAAGTAAGACTATGTATTGAGTTTGTGGTGAATTAGTAAATCCTAGCCCAACTGAAGTGAAAAGTGATTTGGGGTTAGGATTGTGTTATATAAGAATGTAAATGTGCTTTTAGTGATGATTATATGGTGAAATTGTGGATTTAATGGCCAAGTGATTGTCTTTATGAAAAGTTGTGAAAAATAGCCCTTTATTATGTAAATGGGCAATTTGGTGGCCAAATCATGATATATGTGTTTAAATAATGATATTATTGGTCAATCATGTATGAATGGTTCTTTTGGACTTAATTCTAGGCCTAAAACAGCCTAGTGAGACAAAGCGTGTGATTTGAACACTTTGGTGCTTGAAATTTTTAAGAAAAGTGACTTTTTATACCTGAGTGTCCAAATTTATATCTGACCTTAGATCATGTCCTAACTTATCTCATTAGTTAGCTTATGAAATAAGCTTCGTGTGGGTACTTGAATCACTCCGATTAGACATTGTGTGAGGAAATGATGAATGCCAAAATTTTACTTTCATGAACTGTCAAATGACAGCAAAATCTATCGTTGAGTGTATGGCTTTTTGCCACATGCCACGGTGCATATGGTGCACGTCACGGCGCATTCCCCTTTTTTGGCCTTGTTTCTTTTGTTTAGAACCATGTGTTGAGAAGGATGGGTGCAAGAATTATTTTTTGCTGTGCATTGCTCTGTTATGTGTCTGATTTCAAATGATTTTAAAACAAAAAGTCTTAGGTCCCAAGCATTTTAAATATTTATCTAACTACAGTTTGATATTTGTGCTGTGGGGAATTGTTAACCCCTCTTTATACGAGTTTAATGAAGAGATAACAATTTGGTATGGGGAGAGGTTACAGCATGCATGTCTTAACATCTAAAATGGATGTTGCAATATGTAGGAAACCTCAAGGGATATTAACCTAAATGCAACTTTTATGAATAAAAGACTCAAAACAACAAGACTCAAGACCAAAAAGCAACACTAGACTGAAACCAAACACCCAATTCAAGAAACAAAAACCCTTTTATTTAGAAAAAGAAACAAAGAAAACAAACCTAATTCTAAACCTAATAGAAAGGATCATACCTCCCCCATACTTAAACATCAAAATAGATACCATAAAACACAATTACAAGCAAGAATCAAATGATCTACATGTGTGCACAAGTTTCTGCAAGCATATACCAAAAAGTGCTCAACATGTATGCTAAGTGAATAGTGTGAGTTGGGGAGATACGGCATATGCACATGTGCCATGGCATGTGACACAGAGGCACTAACATTGACTCTATGTTGTGTGCCATAACATGTTGACACATGCATCGTGACACACACATAAGATTCTGCTGTCAAAATAGTAGTTCTAAAGTGAATTTTGGAGGTACACCATTTTTGCATCCGAAGTCTGATTAAGGTGATTCAAGTGCCCACATGACGCTTATTTCAAAATCTAACCAATGACACTGGTGTCATTTAAATCTGATGTCCTATTTAAAATCTGAGTGCATTTTGACAAATTAAGTTAAAATCTTCCATGTAAACATCACTATTTGAAACCATAAGTCATTAGCCACTTTTAGGGTCTTGACCATATCCATTGGGACAAATTACACCTAATTGACAACTAATATACACCATATCACATGTAAATACAAATTTGGCCAGTAAATTGTCTATCTCACATACACCTAGGTGGAATTGTGTGTTTTCACATAAATTCACTTCATTGGCCAACTTTCTCATTTCACCAAAGCTCAATCTCATTCACATGCAGTTATAATATATCACTAGCCCATTCTATCATTACCACCTCAAACACAAACATATACATACAATGGGCCTAAGACACAAAATCACATACACATTTGCATTCACAAGCTTATGCACAATAATATATTTCCTACGGCAACTTATACACAAATTCACAACTTAGATAATGCAAATTCATTTCACCAATTCCTTATAATGGGCAACAGAGAAATTATCTAATCTTGGCCTGTATCTTTCCCTTTAGCAACTCTAGCATCAGAGCCTGTAAAAATATAAATAACCACGAGTGAGATCAAAATCTCAGTAACTAAAATAGTTTATTAAATGCTCAAATAACCACATATAAGTAAATAAAATTGAAGTAATAGTTTATATATATATATATATACCAAATGCAAACATAATTTTCCTCTTTCTAAAATTTTCATACAACTACAACCGCTATCATGATCATCTATCCACTAATCTTTCAAAACTCCCCGACTTGAAATCATAGGCTATAATGAATCAATCACATATTAACCCAAACACACCTTCAATGGTACAAATACCCAGCCAAAGGTATTCTTTCTCACTTTCCCACTTCCTGACTATGGCTTTCCCCTCCATACTTATTGATGATAGGAGTGTTATTGACTCCTAATGGAACCCTTATGGGACCAAAAAGTTGCCAGATTGCCTGAATATCCTATAGTAATAGTCTTAATATAATGCTGCACCAGTTGTCCCATGATGCCTGCCCAACTATATGAATTTGTTCTCTCACATCCCTATACACACACCCCTCACGTACACCAAGGTAAATCTCCACTTTTCACACATTACACTATATATATGTGGGTGTGTGTGTGTGTTCATTTCATTTAAAAGTCATTAGTCATTCAACAAGTATTTCAAAATCACTTTAATGCTAAAACCATGTATATTGCAAAACGATGCATAGAAATCTAGCAAACAATGAAATCATAATTTATACGTTTACTTCTATGCAATTATAAAAGTTAATAAACATAAAAAACTATATAGTTATCTCAACCATTATGCTCTTATGAAATGTTACTTGTGGTATACTCCCTTATTTGCACTTCTTTCACTCAATCTGCACATTACACACAACAATCTAAACAATATGGGCCCTCGGAGTCAATTATCACATTGACAAACAGTACCACTTTCAACAATTAAACATCTAAATGCTAATTCCCCTACTCAAGTCCATTTCCACTCTTCTAACCCTACACATCAGCTATTGTGACCTTAATACGATTATTCCCAAATTTTACCTATTTTCTCTTTTCAAATTTGACTAATTTGAGCCTACAACTTTAAAGCATTATCGTTAAAGCTCAAACTAGTCACAAAGTCCTAATTTAACTTTAAATAGCCCTTTTATTACTATAAGGTAAGAAATCAACCCCTTAAAACTTTTGAATTCAATCTCCCAATAGTTTAAACTAAGAGAAAATAGCATAGAATTAGAGATTAAGGTGGTATAAGACTTACCCGATGAGTAATAGGTCAGAAATGTCGCTCGAGCTCCTAGAATTTCTTACCCTAGCAGAGGTCCTCTCCTTCTCCACTTTCTCGTGCATTTTTCCTACTTTTCCCTCTACCTCCATGAGCTAATACACGTCATTATCTATTATATTTCTGTGCCATGTGCCTTCACGCATTCAGCACTAGCCACAACGCGTGGTACAACGAGGAAACTCCTCATAATGCTCTCACACTCTACCTCATAATACTCATTCTTCTACTCAAATTTGTCCATGTAACATCCCAAAGGGTGAAAACAACATTTCGTCATTCAAAACCCTAATCATACACTAAATTACCAATTCATCCCTTAATTAGTAATAAATTCTAGAGTTTAAAATCTAAGATGTTACACAAGATCACTCATCTAATGAGTCTAGGTTTAGACTCAACCTTTTTCATCAAGTATCTTAAAGCTGCATGGTCACTATACACAACCACCTTAGCACAAATCAAGTAAGATTGAAATTTATCCAATGGAAAAACAATAGAAAACAACTCTTTATCTATGGTAGTGTAATTAATCTATAAGCTATCAAGTGTCCTAGATGCATATGATATCATATGTGAAAATTTACCATCTGTTCTGCCAAGCATAGCACCGACAGCATAGTGAGAAGTATCACAAGATAATTCAAAACTGAGACAAATTTAGGGATTTCAAAATAGGAGGTGTGCAAAGAAATTTTATTAAAGTGTTAAAAGCCTTTTTACAATCATCATCAAACACAAATGGTGTATCTTTTTGAAGCAATCTAGTAATAGGTAAGGCAATTTGACTAAAACCCTTAATGAACCTCTTTTAAAAGCCAACATGTCCCAAAAAAGACTTTAATTCTTTCAAGCAAGTGGGGAAAGGAAGGGAGGAAATCACCTTAGCCTTAGCCTTATCCACCTCAATCCTTTAGAGGAGACAAGATGCCTTAAAACAATTCCTTGATTTACCATAAAGTGGCACTTTTCAAAATTTAAAACCAATTTTTTTTCTAACCTTTGCAAAACATCATCCAAAGCAGTCAAGTAAGAAGCAAATGAGTCACCATAAATAGTAAAATCATCCATGAACACCTCCATGCGTTTGTCAATGAAATTAGAAAACAAACTCATCATGCATTTCTGAAATGTGCCTGGTATATTACACAACACAAAAGGCATTCTCCTATAGGCAAAGATACCAAAGGGGCAGGTGAAAGTGGTTTGTTCCTGGTCTATGGGATCTATAAGATTTTGGAAGCATCCACCAAATCCATCTAAAAGCAATAGTGGGACTTGCAGGCAAGCCTTTCAAGCATCTAATTAATGAAAAGGAGGGGGAAGTGGTCTTTCCTAGTGACATCATTCAACTTCCTATAATCAATACACATCTTCCAGGAGTTTTGCACCCTAGTTGGCACTAACTCACCAGTCTCATTTTTCAAAGTAGTTACACCCCTTTCTTTGGCACAATTTGAGTAAGAGAGACCCACTCACTATCACTAATGGGGTATATTATTCCTACACTCAAGGGCTTAATTACTTCCTTTTTAACCACATCTAGGATTAGAGGATTCAACCTTCTTTGGGGCTACATAACAAGGTTGGCACCCTTTCTAAGCAAGATCTTATGAATGCATACTAATAGATCTATCTGTTGGAAATTGTGCCCTATGACCAATCATTGTACTATAAATATTGTTATTTATAGAATTTTTCTTTTGTTATCATATTAATTGCATGTTCATTATGATAACTATATCCTTAGACAAACTATAATGATTGTCCTAAATGTCCCTGGTCGGTCATCTATGAGGGATCATAGATGAAACAAGACTAGTATTATTTTGATTAATTATAGAGATATAAATCAAAGTCATAGGCACTTGAAAGTACAAGGTACTAGACTGACATGCTATGAGAAAGTTACATGGTATAAGTCATAAGCTTATCTTATATATAACCATATCACTAAGCCCTTTAACTTGAGACTATGGATTCCTACATGATGACCATTGAACTTTGACCTAGTCAAAAGTCGCCTTTGACTGGGTGATCATAAAGGCTATGATATTCATACAGAGGAATATGAGAGGTCAAGATGGAGTTTGTCCCTCACATTAATTGAGAGATATTATTGGGCCCCTCAATGAGTAAGATTGAGAAAATGTATGGCCATACTATAATGGAAAGGATTTTTCATTGTTATGCTAGTTCACTCAGAGATCGAGAAAGTAATGGTCAGGTAAAGGAGAATGACAATTCATGTCTCACACTTGACCGAAATATTGTGTGACAAAAGGGATGTGATACAATTATATAATAGGTTGCATCAGATTATCGATCCCCATACGAATTGGGTAGTTGTAATGTCTTACTAGAGGCCACTTGTGACTTGTGGGCTAATAGTACAATTAGCCTACTGCCAACTTCATATGGGCCTACAGGGTCACACACAAAAATAACATAACTTGAGCTATAATGCCAAGTTCATTGAATCTGGAATATGTCTAGATTCAATGAATGTAATATAGGGTGAACGAATTTTATATATATATATATTTGAATATTTATTTAATAAATATTTATATATTTATATATTTATTTATTTATATGAAATATAAAATTCAAAATATAATTATATATATATATATTAAATATATATATATATATATTCATGTTTACATATATATGATAGAGGATGCGGAAGGAGAATCGTGCTAGTTTAGGAACAAAACCCTGAAACACAATAAAAATACAAGAACAAAAAGAAAGGGATGAAATTTATGACGAAAATAAAGAAATATATGAAGTAAACAATAGGATAATGATCAAGGAGAAGATCCTCTAGAGCACCTGCCTCTAAAAACCTTAACCTTCGAAGACACCACAAGAGTTAATCCTGCTCTTGATCACGTCTGTTTCTCACACGGGATGCCACTACAAAACACTGAGGCTCATAAGAGTTATAAACTCTAAAAATGAATAATTTCATTGAACTTCTGTGTCGTTTACAAGAGGGAGCATGCCTAATTTATATAGGCTCATAGAAAAGAATATTTTTTAAAATTAAAACCCTAATTTCCTAATACTAAAAGGAGAAATAATATAAAATAATGATAAAATATTTAGCCACATAATTTAGGAGATGTGATCATAAAATTATAGGATTACAAAATTTAAAAATTAATACTATAATTAATTCTAACCTTTGACTACACTCAAAATAGAAAATCAAATCAAAGGACCATTAAAATAGGAAATAATTTAGGAGATAATCAAGAGATTATAAAGAATTTAAAATCATGCCACCCTTGACTTTTTCATTAGGGTTTCATGCCTCCTTGCTTGCAAGAGGCTCAACTTATAGTCTTCCTTGCATTGGGCTAAGGTCTGCATCTCTTGGGTTTAACTCTTCATGAGTTTGGATCTTAAATACATTATACACATATAGATGCTCTCTTTTGGGCTTGAGAGGAGTGCCCCAATGCTCTCCAAGCTCTTAAACTTCTTGTACAAGACCAAACAAGGCTTGCTTCATGGCTTTAGTTCACGCTCTTGTCATTGGATCTCCAATATGTTATAATGGTCTTTAGGTATGTTGGATTGAAAGTATTAGGCTCCTTGCTTCTTGCCTTGGGCTACTTCCATGTCACCATACTCATGATTACTATCCTCAAGTTTCATTGCCATTAATGCCATGTCATCTATGCTATGGGATCCATCATTCCCTCCCAATTGGAAAGGATTCATCCTCGAATCTGTAGAATCATATAAAGATAGATCAGAAATATTAAATGTGGCACTAACATTGCCATAAGAGCTAGGCAAATCAATCTTGTAAGTATTATCATTAATTCTTTCCAAAACTTGGAAAGGTCTCCTCGAGCTTGAAGTTTGGACTTCCTTTGATTAGGAAATCTTCTTTCCTTAAATATAACCAAACCTAATCTCCAGGCTCAAAGATCACATGTCTCCTGCCTTTATTAGCTTGCTTGGCATATATTGCTCATTCTTTCGCTCTATGTTTGCTTTAACCTTAGCATGTAACTCCTACACAAACTCAGCTTTTTTCTTGCCATCAGTGTTACCATACTCAGAAAAAGGCAAATGTAAAATATCAATAGGAGATAATGGATTGAAACCATAAAAAATTTCAAATGGAGAATAAGAAGTAGAAGAATGAACAGCCCTATTGTAAGCAAATTCAATATGAGGTAAACAAGTCACCCAATTCTTCAAATTCTTTTGAATTATTGCTCTTAGCATTGTAGTCATAGTTCTGTTAACTACCTCAGTTTGACCATCAGTTTGTGGATGGGCAGTAGCATAAAAAAGTAACTTAGTCCCTAATTTATATCATAGGGTACGCCAGAAGTGACTAAGAAACTTCACATTCCTGTCACTCACAATAATCTTAGGTAAACCATGCAAACGAACAATCTCTTTAAAGAATAAGTCAGCAATGTTAACAGCATCATTAGTCTTAGCATAAGCAATAAAGTGTGCCATCTTAAAGAACCTGTCAACAACAACAAATATGGAATCTTTGCTTGCAGAAGATTTAAGCAATCCAATTACAAAATCCATAGAGATATGTTCCCAAGGGTGAGAGGGGATAGGTAAAGGAGAGTAAAATCCATGAGGTTAGATCTTAGATTTTTCTTGTCTACATTTAATACATTTATCACAAACAGATATGACATCTTTTCGCATGTGAGGCCAAAAGAAATGATCAGACAAAATAGCCAAAGTTTTCTCTACACTAAAGTGTCCCATCAAGCCACCACTATGCGCTTCCTTAGTAAGCAACTCACACATAGAACAAATAGGAATGGATAATTTATTTTTCTTAAAAAAATCCATCAAATCTAAAGAAATTACTAGATCCATAATTTTCACAAGATTTTCAAATATTTTCAAAATCAAAATCAGTTTTATAAAGATCTTTTAGAATCTCAAAGCCAAGTAATTGAGCATGCAAATAGAAAAGTAATGTATACCTTCGAGATAGGCATCAGCAACGATATTTTCTTTACCTTGCTTATACTTAATCACATAAGAAAAAGTCTCAATAAATTTCATCCTGCGAGCATGTCTCTTGTTCAACTTACCTTGAGACTTAAGAAACTTTAAACTTTCATGATCAGAATGAATGATGAATTTCTTAGGCCATAAATAATGTTGCCATGTTTCTAAGACCCTTTTAAAGCATAAAGCTCTTTGTCATAGGTGGGATAATTTAAAGCTGCGCCATGAAGCTTTTCACTGAAGTAAGCTATGGGCTTAGAATCCTACATTAAAACAGCACCTATACCAATACCAGAAGCATCACATTGAATTTCAAATGCCTTAGAGAAATTAGGCAAAACAAGTAAAGGGGCATTAGTCAATTTATCCTTTAGGTTTGGAAAGACCTTTCTTTGTCTTACCCCATTTAAAGGTCACATTCTTCTTAATAAGTTCATTAAGAGGGGCAGCAATGCTAGAGAAATCTTTAACAAACCTCTGATAGAAGCTCACTAAGCCATGGAAGCTTCTCACTTCACTTGCATTCTTAGGGGTTGGCCATTCACGAATAGCCTTAACTTTCCCCTCATCCATACGAATTCCCTATGATCCAACAATAAATCTTAAAAATATAACAAAGTCCATGCAAAAGAAACACTTTTGAAAATTAGCATATAGTTTATATTCCCTCAAGGTGTCAAACATAGTTTTAAGATGATTCATATGATCAATTAAAGATTTACTATAAATCAGAATATCATCAAAGTAAACCACAACAAACTTGCCTATAAACTTTCTAAAAACATGATTCATTAATGCCATAAAAGTACTAGGAGCATTAGTCAAACCAAAAGGTATAACTAACCATTCATATAATTCAAATTTAGTTTTAAAGGCAGTTTTCCATTCATCACCCTCTTTCATATGAATTTGATGATAACCACTTCTAAGATCAATTTTAGAGAAGATAGAAGTACCATGCAATTCATCAAGCATATCATCAAGTCTAGGGATAGGGTAATTGTAACATCCTAAAACTTTAAATCTAGAAAAATGGATTAATTAAGGGATAAATTAGTTAAAAATATGAT